AAAGAAAGAAAGAAAGAAAGAAAGAAAGAAAGAAAGAAAGAAAGAAAGAAAGAAAGAAAGAAAGAAAGAGGAGGAGCAGGAGCAGGAGCAGGAGCAGGAGGAGGAGCAGGAGCAGGAGCAGGAGCAGGAGCAGGAGATCTCTCTTGGCAATAATCTCTTGGTATGGGATTTTTTAAGGATGGTCTAAAACCTCTTAAGAACATGCTTTTGAGAACTATAAATATGCTGGCAGAAAAATACTCTCTGTGATGTAATAAGTAACTGTTAACCTTCAAGTAACTGAGGCTATTCCAAACTTAACAATAAAACATTAGCTAACACAATCTTATTTTGGTGATGAAGTAGAGAACATCCTTAATCCAAATTTGGCTCTCATAATTCCCAGGGTTAAAAAGTGGCTTCCTTTCTTTTCTTACATGCCTGAAAATGAGTGGTAAATAGGCAAAAATAGTGAGGAACAAGAACATAGAGGGGGCTGCAGTTCTGGGGTACCGTGCCCCCCAATGTCTCCCTTAAATGTTAAGGAGTAAGCAGTGGCAAGAGATATAATGCTACTTAAAGCTAGCCAGTAACTTCGTGGGTTAGCTGATAAAGCTGAACTCAGTTGCTATGTTGAACTGACACATTTCTCTTTCCTATCGCAAATTTGAAAACAAAATTCGGGGGTGGAATATACGATTTCATTACAAAATTGAATTCTTTGTTTCATCTTGTATGGCCATTGTTTCCGATGAGAAATGGTATTAAGTGAATAGAATTAGATCTGCAGCAAATGAATATCTGAAGAATTAGTCAAGAATATAAATTGTAGGTTTTTCCTTCCCCACTACCATTTAGTCCTTTGCAGAAGATGACTTAGATGAGTCATCTATCAAGATGACTAGCAGGAAAATGAATCTCCCAACTACACAAATTATTGTCAGTTTGACATCAGATGCTTTTTGATATCAATGTATCAACATGATTTCAGTATTTGATTTTGGTATCTGATAGAACATTTATTTGGTATCTGACAGTATAGGTAGTCCTAGCTTAACAACCACAGTTGGGACCAGAATTTAGGTTGCTAAGCAATGCGATAGTTAAGTGAGACATCACACGACCACTTTGCTTAGCGACCGCAATCCTGACATTCCCAGTTCCCATCATTAAGCAAGAATCACAGGTCATTAGGCAAGCCAACAATCAAGTCAGTGGGGAAGCTGGCAGGAAGTTGGAAATCCCAGGTGCTGCCTGGTGGGGGAGGCAGTGAGGGGGTGCATGGGAGAGTCAGGGAGGGGGTGTGGGGGTGTGGTGTGGGTCAGGTGTACAAGAGCCTCAGAACTGCTTAAATTTTCAGCCCCAGAGTTGAGAAGCTTCTGAAGCCTTTCCATTCTGGAGGTGAAAATCCTCCATCATTGAAAATCCTGCTTGGAGTTTGGCACAGGGCATTTTCAGCCAGCCCCTAGAGTTGAGAGGACACCCTCTCGTCTCTTGGGGCTGGCTGAAAAAGCACCATGCTAAGAGTTCTCTTGACTCTGGAGGTTGGCTGAAAACACCCTGTGCCAAAATCCTGCTTGGATTTTGGCATGGAGCTTTTTTAGCCAGCCCCCAGAGATGAGAGGGAGTCCTCTTGGCAGCTGGCAGTGTCCTGCAGCCTTCCCTGCTGGCTTCCCCATTGACTTTCTTTCACATGATTGTGGGGCACTTGGCAACCAGTCATAAGTGCAAACCGATTGCCAAGGGCCCAGATCGCAATCACATGACCGTGAGGGCGCTGCAATGGGCATAACTTCAGGCACGGGCTGTAAGTCCCTTCGTTCACCACTGTCATAAATTCAAATGGTTGCTGAACGAATGGCCGTAAAGCAAGGACTACCTGTATTTTATAGCTGAGCAAACAGCAGAGGTGATAAGAGGAGATAAGTTGTGGAAAAGTACAATATTTGGCTAAAATATCCATCCTTTCTGCCCACAAGGAATGAAAAACAAACAGAACTAGTATGTATTAAATTTAAAAAAAAAACTTCTATTCCAATCACTCATCAAGTATGAAGGCTTATTTCTTTTTTATTAACTCATGATTTCAAATAGAACAGAAAAATATTTTATGCACACCTTGATCACCATGTCAATTGCCCCCACTGTTTCAAAAAGAACAAGAGAGATACTAGCAGATAGATCATACCATCAGCTATCATTCTTTGGAAAAACTTAAGGCCACTGTTATCCCATGATGTTTTCTTCTTCACCTGAGATTTCTAAAACATTGGATGGGAGACAAATAATATTTAGACAGTATATGTGAGGAGGGGGAAGAAATTATTTTACTCACTACTAGTTTTGGTCCCACTCACTTTCGAGAGCTTACCTCCAAAGGAAAATGATCTTCATATCCCATCTGTAGTTCATGACTATAGCCTTCTCCAGTTCTATGGACAGATGGCTACTTCCTTCCTGGCAATCAACCAAATGTTGAATTTAATTATTTAATTAATTCTTGCAAGGATACTCACCTTCACAGCAATGCTCTAGGATTCCATGACTGAAGAAGCAGATTGATCATTTGACAGGGTTGAACAGCTATTTCACGTATATGTCCAGCCATGTTTCTAGAAGTTCCATATGTCTGCATAAATGTCAGTAAGCAGGTGAAAAATGAACAAATACCTGTGTTTTACAGACTCATATAAGAAGGGAAATTGTGTCAGGAGATACAGCCCAGGCAATATATAGTATAATTGATGGCAGATATTTCATACATTAGTCTAATTAATACACATAGCTCTATATCAGTATCCTGCATTGTCTGGATGTAAACATAATCCCTAACTAAAAAAACTATCCAGCTAGTACATTATCTAACTGGTACTCTCCACTTTTCAACATCACCAGTGGGCTTCCAGGTGCAATTCAAGGAGCTGATTATTATCTATGAAATGATGCATGACATAGGGCCTGCCTATTTGAGGAACTGCCTACCTTTTATGGTTTCTGCCTGTCTGGTAAGGTAGGGCACAGTCAATGTGCTGCGGGTCCCTTCAATCAATCAGTGCCATCTATCGGTACCCAGGAAGTGTGCCTTCTTTGTCACAGTGCCTGCCGTCTGGAAGAGAAATCCATGTGGCTGCCACCTTAATGCTGTTCCAGAAGAAACCTGGCTCTTCTCCCAGATTCTGGAAAAGGATGCTGTTGAACCCCTCACATGTGGTTTGTGTAAGGCTTGGAAAAGGTGAGACTTGTGCTGCAACAGTGCAATGCAGCTTTCGTTATTTCCCCTCCTTGACATGCCTTGTGAACACTGCTTTCAGCACCTGTTATTGATAAAATAAAACATCAATGTAAGGAATGTATTTTTTTTTCTTTGTTGATACCTGACATCTTGGAAATTGCCTCTGACAATTATCAAATGTGATGGGACAACTTTTTCTCTGCCTGAAGAATCTTTTTCAAAAGGGAGCAAATCATATTCTTTTATTTCTTTTATTTTTTTCTGATTCACACCTCTTAAATACAAGTATCTATTTGCCTGTGGTTTTAAGAAAACCCAATTTCACCATCTGCCTAGCAAGCACATTTTTTTCCTGATTTTCTTGGAACAACCTTCCAAGTGCATAAAAACTGCAATATTAGTTTACTCATGAATGAGAAATGTTTCCATTTGCTTGTAGCAAAATTACGTAGAAAAGAGAATTCTTGAGCTACACAGTCAGATTCTTACCCTCTGAACTTTTTCTGCAGTGGCAAAAGCTAGAAATAATCCAGAGGAACCATTTTTACCAAAAGCATTCATTCATTCATTGTTTAGATTTCTAAGGCTAACATTGGCCAACTACTTTGGACAACTTACAGATGAGAACTGCTGTGAAGAACAAGTAATGTAATTCTGGCTGTATTTGTGGGCCAGGGAAAAAAAGAAAGATGGTTCTTTTTTTCTTTAAATTAGACCATTGCATATAAAGTTTGCCTTCAATCATGCTGTAAAGTTTAGAATATAAACACACTATATATAGTTAATATAGTATATTATATTATATATATAATTGAGTAGTAGTATATATATAATTGAGAGAGAGAGAGATGATGGTAGATAGATAGATAGATAGATAGATAGATAGATAGATAGATAGATAGATAGATATAAAATATGTAGTGTATCTCTTTCACTCTTCTTCCTTAATTCACTGGGATAATAGATAGATGAAGAATTATATTTAAAACAAACAGCCTTCCATAGGAGGGGTGGCTTTTTCTGACAATAGCTACAAGATATCCTCATGCTTCTTCCTTCTGCTAAAGTTGGGGTTACTGACTTTCCCAGATGGAGAGTAACCAGCCTCCACAGCATTAAGGAGAGAAATTGGAATGCTGGTGGGATGGGGAAAGTATCCACCGATAGTTACACCTTCACTTGCCAGCCATTGCCACTCACCAAACTTGTTGCCAAGGCAGAATAAAGATCAACTGTTGGGCTGCCACTTTGTGCCCTGGATGAAAACACATTAAGCTGGCTGTGAGGATGTGCCTGAGTTGTCCTGTGCTAGTGAATTTGAGCTGTTGGGAAACAGCAATAGAAGAGAGATATAAATTAATTTGTGAGTTTGTCATTGTCATCTAGTTGACCTCTGTGGGAGACAGGACACTGGACTGTAATGGATGATAATGATGATGATGATGATGATGGTTGGTCACACAGTCAACTAGATGTTCAGACTGGATTTGACATTTTTATCCATCTATTGAGTCCTTCCCAAGGACCTGGGATAGGCAGTCATTGTTGTTTGATGGTGTTGTTTAATGGTGTTAATGGCATCGTTGCAGGATGTAAGCTATTCCAAGTAAACCTGCCTTTTGCAATTGACTGATGGTGATTTTGTCAATACCAATGGTCTTCAAGTGGTGCTACAGATGCTTTGGGATTGCACTTAAGGCACCTATAACTATTGGTATTATCTTTGCCTTCTTTTGCCACAGTCCTTCTATTTCTATTTGTAGGTCTTTGTATTTTGTGATTTTCTCCAGTTCTTTCTCTTCTATT